TCTTCCTGACATGGACTTTCATATGGACTCAGGTAAGTGTTTGAGCCCAGCGACTTTCAGTTCCTCTGCTCCTTTAACTGGTAACAAGGCCTCTATCTTGGACTGCATCGCCATTGATATTCCATAAAAAATGCGCTTCTGCCCCATTGACTGCAATTTCTAATTATTCAAATCAGAGTAATGAATACGCCCCATTTGGCACCGTCAATGTCTCCTAGCTTGAACAGGAACCAAATCAAACTTATTTAATAAAAAAAGAAACCAATTCCATGTTACCACTTCTACAAGTAAAATATAAGAGACCTTTGTAGCTGTTTGTTAAAATATTCTTATGACATTTGAGATCAGCTTTAAAAAGCATAAGGACATCAATATGTGTCAGAAAATGTTATAAAATTTAGGGTAATTTTGGAGCCATTTTTTGGAAAAAACATGGGCTATAGCCTTGGGTATTTTTCTGATTTTTGGCACTTTCAATGGCCGTAACTTGAAAAATTAAAGTCAAAGTCAGCTCAAACTTTCTACACAGCATAAGAACATAAACATGAATCAGAAAATGTAATAAAAATTTGGGGTAATTTTGAGGCCATTTTTTGGAAAAAACCATGGGCTATAGCCTTGGGTATTTTTCAGATTTTTGGCATTTTCTTAAAATGGTCGTAACTTTAAAAATAAAAGTCAGAATGAGCTCAAATTTTCTACATAGCATAAGGACATCAATATGCATTAGAAAATGTAATAAAAATTTGGGGTGATTTTGGAACCATTTTTGAAAAAAAAACATAGGCTATATAATTATAGTACAGGGTATTTTAGAATTTTGGCAAATTGTTTTAAAATTGCCATAACTAGAAAAAATTTAAGTTTAAATTAGCTCAAGCTTTTTACACAGCATAATAATGAAATCAATATGTGTCAGAAAATGTAATCAAAATTTAGGTTGATTTTTGAGCCATTTTTCCAAAAAACTATGGATATTTTTTTTTAAATTGGCTTATACTGTAAAACTCATTATTATTGTCGGAATTGGTTCAAAATTTCTACATAGCATAAGGACATCAATGTGCATCAGAAAGTGTAATGAAAAAGTCTTTACAACCATGTTCAACGTAAGTAATGCAATCTGGGTCATATGAATGTAAAAATTAGTTGGGCCTATAATAGAGGATATGCGTACTAAGTATATTCATTGCAAATTAAATGTATTCATTGCATTCTGTAATAACTTTCAAGAAAAAAAGTTAATTTGTTGGACGTCAGTTTTCTAT